GACCTTCCTTTTGTCCGGAAGGTCATAGTTTTTAAATGGGAGCAGGTCAAAGTTGACCAATCAGAGGGAGGCGTGAAGAGAAACGTAGGCACCAACGAACTCTGAGTTTTCTTCCCTCGCTCTGAAACTCTGAGTTTCTCAGTGGCTTCGGGCAGGATGACGTCAGCCGATGACATGCCTATTGTAAACAAGAAACAAGAAACAAGCCACCGAGAAACAAAAGCGAGGGAAGAAAACTCAGAGTTCGTAGGCGCCTACGTTTTTCGTGACGCCTCGCTCTGATTGGTCAACTTTGACCTGCTCTCATTTAAAAACTATCAACTTTCGGACAAAAGAAAGGTCATTTTCGTGATCAGTGGTGCCTCCCGAACACCGCCATACCCCGTTGGTCAGGTAATTTTGGGACACCCTGTATAATACGACATGCAGATATGTCTGTACCCTGTATATACATATATCCATCACTATAACTATATATACACATGGATAAAAGAATAAAGATTCTGTCGATACAAACGTACCGTAAGGGGACACATCCAGTCATGCTTACCTGGCTAATATCACCGTAGTATTTCCATATAACGCACTATACCCAATGGTATTGTGTACATTTCGTTTCCATTGAGCTATCCCATTGCACGTGGCAGGTGTCCTACCACTGTGCACTACTAGATTTATACAGGGTGTACCACATATCACGTAAGATATCGTGTTCGCCGCTTAGTTATCTCCAAGATTGGTCCTATCGGTTCTATCTGTACGGACAGTATAAATTGGGCAGCTCTTTTGTGAGCTGATAGAAGAGAATGAAAGAAAACAAGAAGACTAGAAAGACGCGGCGCGAGGGAAAGAGAAAAAGTTGGACGTGAACAAAAAAAAAAAAAATATCGACAAATCATCGTTACCCACGCGTCTACAATTTTTGTTATCTTGTACGCATCTGCATATACAGTGTGTCTGCTATATCTCATCCCGTTGTGATTTACGCGTTGGTTCGATAGCCATTACCGATTCATTTAAGTGATTTATGATCTATACAGTGCCTGCGGTACCACCCGGTATATAAAGTCCGTACACAGGACGTCGATAAACGTCCCGACGCTACTCGAGACGTTGTCTCTCTACCACGCGTCGCCGTGCTCTTTGCAAAGCCACTCTGTGGCTTTCTAGTTTTTATTTCGACTCCGTGTGTACGTCCATACAACCAGCATCCCCTATCTGCGCGCTGCATCCCTCGCGTCAATTTTTCTCCCTCTATTTTGCGTCTCATCCGTTTCCATGTGCCTCTTATCGCGGAGTCCCTTCACGCGCGACTTTATCCAGCCGCAGGCACGATCTTTGCAAAGTTTTCAGAAACGGGTATAACGAAGCGCGATCAATGATCCAGAATAATACGATCCATTAAATCCGGACTCACCGCCAAAAATGTGGCACGTATCCGCCCGGGCACAGTTCTCGGCATTGGCTGCACGGTGCGCCTTGCATCGGTCCGTTCGACGTGGCCTGACCGCTCGCTTGATGTAGCATGCTGCAACAGTATAAGAAGAATAAAAGATAGAACAAAAAGAAATATCATAAAGTAAAGAATATACACTTCAACGATCCGCAAGGATTGTCGGGAAGGAATGGCGGAAGTTGAAAATTCAAATGTCGCTGTACATGCGTCCCATTGTCAATTCCTCTATACATACGGGGCAAACGCATAAGACACACGAGAGTTACGAGGAATAAACGACGCACGCCACGATTCCTGGAGAGGAGGCAGAACCCACCTATCCCACCTTTCAATGGCGTTCGTGGCACGCGTGTACCTTGAGCAACACACGCACGGTCGAATACGTGCACGCGTGTCACGATAAACGCATGAAGCGCATAAACGTAACAAGTTCGCATAGGTGTACCTGGGGTAGGTGCTCATACGGCTAAAGGAAACTTGGTGGCGTGCATGCCGCTGAGCTCGAGTTTACGTACAACGAAGAAGGAGCAAGGATGATAGTTAAGGATGGCGAGTCTGAGGATGCCGAAGAAGAAGTAAAGGAAGAAGAGGAACGAATCCTGGTCAGGAACAAAGTTAAGTGGGGATGCGCCTTACTACTCGTATGTGCGCGTAGGTACTACGTACAAGTATACGTATAGGATTCACCTAAGGACGGTTCTCAAAGAGGTTCATGTTTCTATGAAATGGGTCCCAAGGCCCGCTCATATCCAGTAAGCAATGCCACTGGGTCTGCAGACTGTATTTACGTCGGAGTGTTCGCTTGGTGGACCGATTAATGAGCGTATAAATTCATTAGTGAGTTCAGGCTAATAAAAGCGAATCGTTTGACGGTTTTAATGCTGAGCGAATTACCGTGGTGCTTATGGGGAGTACATAGGTACCATGAGGTTATGTGTATATATGGTACATGTATATATATCGTACATTAAGTCTGAATACTCAGAGTCGCGAAGGGAGACTGCTGGCGCGTTCTAATGCACGAGGAAAATAGCTACTTGGAAACATGAGACGTAATTAGCGCCTCTTTCAAATTTTTCCTTCCTTTTTCTATAGGGAACCTGCTACCATTGCACTCCCTCTTAAGTTGGATTTTAATACAGGCAGATAGACGGAGGCATGTTAATGGTACGATATGAGGAGATCCGATGGATCCGTATAATTCACAAAATCGCCAATTAACATTCTCACGCATCCTGGTAGCGCTACTCACGTGGATACGTGTCACGCTTTATGGTACTGTGGAACTTTATATGGGGCGACTTGAGCGTTTAGGAGAATCAAGAGCTGAAATAAAAAAAAAACAGTTCGGCGGAGATACGAGAATGGCCATAAAAGCGGCAAAGGCCGGCGGTATGTGGAGAGAGTGGAAAATATAAAGAATATAAAATTATGCATTCACATAAAATCGGACTAATTAAAATTCGAAACAGTTTATAATTATTCTTAACAGATTAAGAAAGGGAAACTCGGAATGGCCTTTTGCACTTATGATGCTACCCCGCCCTCCTCCATTTTCAATATATCCCAACAATGTAAATATAGGTATGTGCACTATATGAAAAGTGCTTAGATCCAGAGTGACGAGGAGATAAAAATGAGCTTGCGCGCAGCGGAAAAAAATGAAGTGCAAAAAGTGAAGTAAATAAATAAATAAATAAACAAATAAATAACTCAAAGCAACTGCTTGGTCGGTCGGGATCGTTAGGCTCGTTAGATGCGATTAAGATGGCCGAAGCAAACCCGTAAGTCGGCATTGCCACTGAAAAGCCATTAAACGTAATGACGAAGCCAACGATTGTCACTCGAAAGACGAAGATCCTACGAACCACTCTTTTATTATACTCGCGCCAACACATGTCCAACAAACTCTACATATGTTTCACCGAACTGATTTACACTACATATATACACATACACGTGGGTGTACACCTGCACAAGATTATTTATGATTTCCCAACAGACAGAATGGTGTCTGCTAAAAGCATGTAAGACCTTACGTATACATGCATGGATATATATATATATATTATTTGACACCTATATAAAATATATGCAGACACGTTCAAGTGCATATAAAATACATTTTGGGAATTAGATGTTCGGCCATCCTCTATGTATAATTATAATTAATGACCTCTGACTTCGGTCAGAGCGCTGAATGTCGACCTGTTGAATCAGAACGTAACGTGTTGAGTGTCGGCTTGCGCATCCGTAGGCATCATGTGCATATATATATATGTATATATAACCGTGTGTACCTGTTCGCAGCCGGGCACGCTCCTTTGTGCATCAAAGATGGCTCGAAAGGACCTCCCGCCTTTACTTCCTTTACTCGACAGAGACTTTCACTACGGTTAACACGTACCCTAAATGCGATCCGGTTTAAAAAATTATGAAATCAGATTAGAACATAGATATACATTGTCATGGTTAATAATCACAGTGAGAAATCCATGGTGAAGTCTTTTCTTGTTAAGAGGAAATCGATATGCTACGTACAGATTAATAAGTTAATGATTGTTCACTTAATATTTTTACCTGATGAATGTGATGAGGATTAAATACAATCCGCACAAATCCACTCGTAAATTTCCTTAATGTATAGCACAGTGGCACATGCAGCGCGTTTACCATTGCACATTCCGTATTGTCGACAGCACACGATTTTACACGATTTTACACGATGTAAACGGTCTACATGGTGAACACTGTACGTATGTATATATATATATACACTGTACACAATATAATTCACTATGTATCACTGCACGGTATTCCAATAGGCGTGGATTTCAGTACATGCATTGCATTACGTTAGACACTAAGGAGATTATACATTGGAATTAGTTTTAAGTAATCGCACGCGTATTGTATTATGTTGCACGGTTTTGTGCAGCATCAGGATGCACCTGTATCGCCGGAGCGTCGAGCGCAGCAACGCGATCTCTTCTCAGGGTAAAGATGCATCGTGAGAATCGTTGCATTCCAGTTACGATGCATCGCAACGAGTGAAATAAATAAATGGCAATAAAAGAGCAGGACATACCGAATGGTAAAGCCCTAGAAGCTCTTATCAGAGATACATTGGAAAATAGAATTATTGGTAATCGGAAATGTTTACACTTACACCTGTATGTTTAATATATTTCACAAATTGAGAATGGTAAAAAGAACCGACAAACCTTATAGGATTGTTACGAGTTTTACGGGGCCGCACGGTCACGGGACTACAAGTCACTGGGCATCACTGGTTCCAAGATGATCCTCCCCGGGAACCCCACTAGGTATCCTACAAGGTACCCCACCAGGTACCTTTCAATCCCTCTCTCTTATCGTATGAGTAGAATCGGATCCCCTCTCTCTACAAGTCTACACTCTACAATCCAGACTCTACAGTCAACCTAACGACGGAAAGACTCTACTTGCTTGGCTTGGCTTGGCTGCACTGCCTGACTAAACGCCTCTCTTTCTCGTGTATCTCGATTTTCCAACCGAGACTTGTGCTGCTCTTGCTGCTGAGATGCTGCTCCCGCTGTTGCTGCTGCTTCATTCTCGTTTCACGGCGCTTTGAAGACTCGATGAAATACAAAGCCAGGGCCACTACGAAATCCTTGATGACCAGTTGATGCGTGGTATAACTTGTAGGTATATCCGTGCTGGATGAATCTGTGTCGTATTGAGAATACGTGACGGTATTTTTGGATGGACGTTTTTCAGAGTTTCCTGGAAATATTATTGAAGGTAGTCGATATGGTTGTGAAACACTGAAGCAATGAAAACCAGAATTGTTTATGTACTTTGGATTTCTAAGATTTTGAAGTAATGACTCGTACTACTGCTGAAACGATGTACTTTGGCAATTAATATTCCTACCGATTTGTTCCTTTGTTTCTAGAGTAACGGAATACAGTTTTTTTAAGTAAAATGGCGGATCGAGAATGTAATGGAAAGTCGAAAGATAAATTAATGAAAAGGTCATGCCAGGCAATATGGATATGTATGTACAATGAGACACCTACAAACGGTTAAAAGTTTCGACACGTAAAAAACTACCGCTAACTTTTAAAATAGCTGTATATTGCGAATCATGGAAATATGTAATTGTTCGACGTTCTGTATAGTAGGGAATTGTTGTTTTTATCACCGTATTTACATACATTATACCAACTTTTGGATGAACGCCGGAAAGATGGTGGTTCAAACCCGCTAAACGCCACATTGGTCTATGATTCGTATATACTCGAGAATCTTCGTCGATGTTCGTGTCACGTGGCAATCGCGCGAAATATGGCGCCGAGTAGTTGCGAAAAGCAGACGATTTTTCACGGGGGTTTTTTACGGACATGCATATCATTTGCTTTATATTAATTTCCTCTTTCAGTATAATTTAAGTGGCACAATAACGCGTCGTGCGTACAGGATGGTCTACAACATCAAATGGATCATACCGAAGTTACGAAACCCGACGAAACTTTGGAACATCGCAAGCAGCATAACCTTTGTAGCCGTTGGAATTTTCTCAAAGTTTATCATAGGTTTGTTAAATTATTAATATAGTTTATTCCCCGAATTTGCATCTCTGCTTATATTGATATCCTTCTTTATTAATGACCTAATCAATTTCTACAATGTTTAAGGTCCTTTGAATTTTTTGTATTTAGACCTTCAGTCTTGAGATTATCTTATTGTAATCTACGACCTTAATTCAACCTCCAGTTTCGTCGTTTTAACATTGGCTTTCTATTCTGTTCTCATTACTTATCATGGCTGACCTCCAATTTTTACAAATTACAATGATGGGTTTAATGTTTAGTCATTGTTTAGTTATCAGAGTGTGATTCAGGTATCACATACTTTGAAGAAAAACTGATAAACATGTACGCATTCATCGGCATACTACTTGTAACGAGCTTAATTAATCCAGAGTTCAAACTCCAACTTTTTATATTCACCTACCTATTCATTTCTCAATTATCTTATATAAGGTGTTACACGTATCAGAAACCTTCTTGTGTGTCTTTTGTATTTAAATATTTTATGGAATTGTTTAATATTTATATAACATATATATAGATGCTTTTTTATATTCAAAGAACTGCTAAACAAGACGAGGGTGCACAATAAGCATATCCTTGTTCGAGCATTAAATCGAAAAGGAAATACACCATTGATTACTGTGTCGAACCATCATAGTTGTTTTGATGATCCAGGATTATGGGGTAACTTTTTGAATGAAGATATAAATACCTAATTCTATTTGAGGAAATGTAACAAAAAATATTCATTGTTCACCCAGGTTCCTTAAATCTAAAACATTTGCTATGTCGCCGAAGGATGAGATGGTCCCTAGCAGCACAGGATATCTGCTTCACAAATGTCTGGTATTCTTACTTCTTTATGCTAGGCAAATGCGTACCTGTGATAAGAGGTGAAGGAGTATATCAGGAAGCAATTAATTTTTGCCTTGAAAAACTAGCGTCTGGTGACTGGGTCCATGTTTTCCCCGAGGGAAAAGTAAATATGCTCAAAGAAAACATGAGGTAACATTCCACTCATAATACCTTTAATGAATCTTCATAAATCTACAAAAAACTAGACTCGTATAATGCTGCCATTTGATAAGGTCAATCTGACTACGATCAACAGGTTAAAGTGGGGAGTGGGAAGGTTAATAATGGAATCACCAATAACCCCCTTGGTAATTCCTATCTACCACTTAGGAATGGACAAAGTACTGCCCAATGATCCACCTTATATAATAAAAGCTGGAAAAAAGGTTACAATGTACTATGGAGACCCGATAGACTTCAGTGGAATGGTTGCAGACCTCAGAGCGAATAATGCAACAGAGATGGATGCCAGAAAAGCTATTACAGACCGTATCCAGGATGAGCTGCTTCGGTAATTCAAGAAAGCATTCCACAGGAACTAAGCAATCAGAGCAAATTACATCGTTTATTTTATAGGTTAAAGACAATCACTGAGGAGTTGCATGCAAGGTTTTGACAACGGTGTGGCGGTTCACGCCGTCACTCGATCTAGCCAGAATTTGCGAAGGACTATGGGAAGCAATACGGTACACGAAGATGTCCGTCAGTAATGATCGAGATATAGAGAACTTGAAAGCACCAGATAGCAATAGACGAATGGTGGCGTACGATAAAAAAGAATTAGAATTTAAGTGTACAGAAACTAATAAGTTCTAGAATAGAGAAGCCGCATTAACGACACTAGGGATATGCATATACGTCTATGCATATTTTGCTATTTTTACAAGAAATCTTTGATCGACTTTCAATTATTGCCTTCATCAAGTTTAATTATTTATACAAAAAAGGGAGAAAAACACGTGTACTTATGACATGGAATGCAGAAAGACACGTGTGCATACAATTAATATAATCTAATGTACATATTAATGCTGAATTATATACAGTAAAAAAAACGCGCAATCTAATGTCTAACTTTATATATATACATACACACACTTACAGAGAGAGAGAGAGAGAATATAAGAGAATAATAGAGACGTTATGGAATTAAAGTATGAAAAAAAATATATTGGGTAATTTAAT